TATCAAGGGTCGCCTTATCTGCTGCCTACAGCAGTGCGGATAAGCGAGAGCGTGCTACTGTTGGCGTCTCCCTTCTTTCTTTTCCACCTGTTTTTCTTACTCCCATCCCGACCACCATTACTAACCATCCTTCTATAATTTCCAGCTTAGTTGACAGCAACTGAAGTGCCACTAGAGTAGAACCACCCGAAGCCACCTTCTCACAACACCCATTGGATGCCTATGTGTAGCAGCCCCTTATAAGTCCACGCTGTCCCGTTTAGTTAGCGACGTTCAAACAGGTCAACAGGCTGCACTCGTACGCACCTTGAACACACTGGGTATTGATGTGTGTTGCGTGTCCTAAACTATGATCAGTGACCCTAACGAGCTTTTTGAATTAACTGCACCCGGCTTATCCCCTCGTTATTGGTTGCACACATCCGGAGACGCTGATGCCACGTTCACAGGTCAAGTTGTTGTAGGTATCATTCTAAGCTCAAAGTCTGAGCCATGGTTGGTTGATTGGATTCCGGTGAACAGCCGTTTATGTACAGCCCCTCTGACGACCTCTACCAAGTCTGATTCACGAAGTAGTATAAAATGCTGTTTTTCTGTAGGTACCGCTTATCCTTCCGCCAACTGCAGATCTGATGCTGTCATGGACACACTATCACAAATTGCTCGCGCTACTACATAGTGCTACTAGTTCAGATATTGTAGTACTACCAAGGGACATGAATGCACAAGTCGGACATCTGAGCTCTTCAGATGCTCAGCTGAGTGGTAATTCTAGGCTTAACTCCGAACGGACTGACAACGCGGAGCGTCTGCTGCAACTGTGTGCGGAGCACCGGTTGTTTCTTAGTATCACTGCTTTTAGACACAATAGGCGCCCAAATGCCACTTGGCGTCCTCCTGTAGCTGGCCAGCGATGGACCCAAAGTGACCACATAGCCATAAGTTACAGGAAGCGTGGTTCCATCCTTGATTGCCGTTGGTACTGGAATATCTGCGTCGACTCTGATCATGCCTTGGTATGCTGTCGTTTCTCCATGAACTTTACCGGGAGGCGCACCCAGCGTATTCTCCGATTGATAACTGGGAAATTCTCTGAGCTCTCGGTCATGCAAACCTACCAAAATGCACTGCGTACCGAACTTTCGCTGTCTTGTCCTAATGACACTGAGATTCAGTGGAATAGGATCTCGGCCGACATGCACTACGCAGGAGCATCTGCTTGTGGCACTATCAATCGTCACCGCACCAATCACTAGATATCCGAGTGGTCGGTGAACCTGTTGGCATCTAGAAGAAACCTCCCGGCTGGCTCTGAGCACAATGTGACCAGACGGGCCATTAGACGTGAACTAAAACGGAGCCTACGTGCTGACAAGGAAGCCTGGTGGGCCAGTCGGGCTCAAGAAATGGAGGAGACAAGAGCAGTAGACAATTACCGCAAGCTCTTTTAGCTGATCCGCACCACTGGTTCCAGGAAACCAGACGTCAGTGAGACAATCAGAAACAGCGCGGGTGCACTGATACACAACAGGGAGCGCCGTATGGCTAGTTGAGGCGGAACACTTTCAAGATCAGTTAAGCTGGCCCCCTGCTCTTGGACCTCTTCCTATTCAGGTGCTGCAGCACGAGCCATGGACGGTTAGTTTAGAGCCTCCGTCGGAGGCCGAGGTCCGAAACGCGATCGCAGCCTTGAATCGTTTTCGTGTTGCTGGCCCGGATTCCCTCTCACATGGACTATTTAAGGATGGAGGTGAGCTCCTCTGCAAAACATTGACCACCTTATTCGAACTTATCTGGAAGGAAGAGAGTGTCCCGTCTGATTGGAGCATCGATTATAGTGGCAATATACAGGAAGGGCAGTCGCACAGACTGTTCTCAGCACGGGGGTATTGGCCTAACGCCAGTTGTGACAAAATGACTGGCCTCGATTATCGTTCGTTGTCTCACTGTGGAACGGGATTTTCGGATTATGGAAGAGCAGGCCGGTTTCCGCCCAGGACGTGGCTCTATAGACCATATAATCACTTTGCGGCAAGTGCTAGAGCAGCGCCACACATACCGCAGACCGCCAATAGGTGTGTTTCTCGCTTTCAAGATTGCGTTCGATTTAGTCGATTGATCCATTCTGTTCGAAAGACTTGCGCGGAAAGGTGTTCCCACGAAATATGCGAACATCTTTCGTGCTCTATACTCGAACACTACAGGCGGTGTCAGGGTCTATGGTGGCCTGTCGGATAGCTTTCCGACCACAAGTGGCGTTCGTCAGGGTTGTCCGATTTCCCCATTTTTGTTCAATTTCGTCTTGGATTCTATCATGGAGTGTTCCCTTGCGGAATCTCACGATGTAGGCGTTGAAGTGCTTCCTAGTGACAGGTTCGTTGATCCTGATTATGCGGACGATATCTTCTTACTTTTTGACGATGTTTGCGCGGCACAATCAACCATGAATGGCCTGTCCAGAGTGGTCCCATTATTTGGTATGCACTTCGCACGTTCGAAGTGCAAAGTGTTGCTGCAGGACCACCAGCCACTTGATGACCCCTTGACGATTGCTAACGAGAAACTCGAGGTGGTCGATCAATTCACTTATCTTGGCAGCTGCCTCAGCAACGATGAGCGCATGGAAAGTGAAGTCAGTTCACGCATTGCAAAGACTGAAACTGTCTTCTTGAACTTGTGGCATCTTTGGCGACAGAAGGGAGTTTCCCTCCGTCTGAAAGGCTGTGTATACAAGGCCACAGTGAGGGCCGTTCTGCTTTATTCTAGTGAGATTTGATGCCTTCAGTCTGAAGATCTGATTCGCTTTCAAATCTGATCATCATTGTTTGCGAAGCATTGCAGGTGTCGTATGGTACCAGGGTGTCCGCAACGATAATTTGCGTAGGCAAGTACTAAATAGTGATGGCAATGCTAGCTCCCTAGAACAACGGAGCACTGATTAGGTTGAGTTGACTCGGGCACGTGCCACATATGCCTGGTGACCGCTTACTTAGGAGGGCCTTGTTTATTCTGCCAGGTGTATGGTGGCACAAGGCTCGAGGTGGACAGAAGTTGACTTCGCAGCGTGAAATTGGGTCACTGACGACCAAACTGGGTGCCATTGTTCCGTCTCGCCTTCCGGGCTGGAGTACACTTGACCCGCCTTTTGCTTAACTCGAGACTTTACAGGACATGGCTCGCAGTTGACACCAGTGGCGCGTCTGCTGCCATCTCCTAATCGGACTGCCTGTTTAAAGTGTGTTTAGTGCTGAGTTATCTGCGGGATATTGACTGATTATGAAGCGGGGCATTGAAAGTGTCAAGAAAGCTGTCTCGCCCATGCCGTCTTATTTTTGCACGATAACCAGCTGTTTGTGACGGTATTTTGTCTATCCAAAGTGTAGTCGCATTGACCCTGAATGTCTGCTTAGGGCAATAATCTTTTCAGGCAAGTCCCCCTTCTCTCTCTTATTTTATTCTTTTATTCTTTATTCTTTAGTTCATGCTAGTTGTGTGGCAGTGGATGCAGCTGTCCAAATGGCCGATGTACTGGTATTGACGTTTATGATGGTGATGCTCACTTACGCTAGTAGCGCGGGCAGAGTTTGCACTTTCGCAATCTGTCGCTGCCCTTCAAAATCTCCGACGATGTAAGACACGGATGCTCGCTGTTCCGTTTCCTCTTCATCTCTGCTATTGACGTAATTATGGAGATCGTTTTCACGGTACACGACTTGGAAGTTGTGGAGCTGCTCCCGGTTGAATGACTTCTTTATTTGGTGTATCTTGACGATATTGCGCTCAACTGTGACAGCTCACCAACATGCCAAGCTTCACTGGACGGATTTGCACTGGCTGTCACCGGTTTCGGTCTCTTCTTTGCACCCTCGAAGTGCAAATCTTTCCCCCATGATTGGCAGGGACCGCCTCATGCGCTCATCCTTGGTAGGGATAACTATTAGCCGCTGAATGCTCACCTCCCTGGGAAATTGTATTAGCACCCTTGGGATTGAAGACAAGATCACGAACGGTATAGCAAACGCTCGTGACGCTTTTGCTAACCTTCGCTACCTGTGGTGCCGCCGCAAACTTACTCTGCCTGATTGGTAGAGTGTACAATGCAGCCGTCCGTTCAACTGCTTTACGGCTGTGAAACCAGGCCCATTAGATCCGCGGACAGACTGAGGCTGGTTTCCTTCGACCACCGGTGCCTACGCACTTTGGCTCACATCTGGTAGAAACACCGCGTTAGCAACGAGCATGTTCGACGCCTTGTTTACGGCACAGGAAGAGGAAATGAATCGCTCAAAACCGTTCCATGTTGAGATGGCTGAGCATGTGTTGCGCATGCGCACCCACCGACTCCCGCGACGTGCGTTGTTTGCGCCGGGGATGTGCACGGAAGAAGTGAAGGGCTGGTCGCGAGCGGTGAATGCCCTTACTTTGAATTTGGCCTCGGTTGGAGCGTCTCGGTTCCCTGGTTTGGGTCCGAAATGCAATGAACACGTTTGGCTTGATACACTTGCTGACACGGCTAGGAGCCGTGAGTTACTTTATTCCTCCCCATTCTTAGCTTCCCTCTCTAACCGCTATCTCTTTTTTTAGCATAATATAATTTTTGGATAATATAATTTGTTTTTGCTGCATAGTAGCCGGCTAGTAGCTTTCCGGAACGATGCTAATTCGTTACTGGTAGTTCAGCTGACATGCACCTGATGTGTGTGTTTTGTCATTTCTTTTATTACGTATTGCGGCACTGTTTTCCTTTCTCTAGCTACGATGTATAATAATATTATTATTATTTGCAGCTGAAGTTGGTTTTACATATCTACCCTTTGTTCCTCTGCTCTAGTAACAAGATCCGTTAATTTCACGTTCACTCCTGGAGGCTGGTGCTATCAGAGACTGTTTTCGTCTGCTCTCTCTGTACAAGCCCCAGGGATATTCACTGTCGTTTGAAAGACTGCTTGATTACCAGATTTCGGTTTCATAGTTTGTTATCAAACGCTACATTTTTTTAGACCTGGAACGTAACAGTCTTCTTGGAACCCGAAACAGTTCTACTATTGCAGAATGATACACGTTTCCGAACCATCCTCGGTCGATATGCTTCACATGTCCCCGTCGATGATGATGATGATCGCCTAACGTCTCCTTCACCAACAGACAGTTTGTCGGACGCCGGATGCGAATACAACGGCACTGTTCAAATGTTTGCTGGTCCTCTGGCCAATGATATTGACCTAGTGGTTTGTCTAGGCGGCGATGGAACTCTTCTTAAAATCGGATCAATTTTTCAAGTAAGTTGCTCATTTAGTTTTGTTATTTTTACTCCCTCATTTCGGTTACTGATTTCTTGACCGAAGTTACCACTTTACAACGACTATTCCTCTTTAAGCATCTGTCACATTGTCACTTCATTTGTTTGAAACTGGCGTTTTACTCTATCATTGTCGAGTCTGCTGACAAACTTGTGAGCTAGCTCAAGTAATTGCCATAGTGCTATTTTGCCTTCCTATTTCTCACATCGACATTTTTTATTTCACTCGTACGAAGCCCAGCAATGAGGCTGGTGCGATGATTTGCGTGCCTCAGAGATCCATTGAGCTGTGCTAGATGGTGCTATTTACATCTACAGAGCCACTCACCAGATTGGTCAATGGTTAGAGGCTGGTGCTCCAGCTTGGGGATTGGAGTGAAGAAAGAAAGAAGGAAAGACATCATCAGTACTCCGGTACACAGTACCGATGCTTCGCTGCCTAGTAACCACCACCAGTCGCACGTGGGCTAAAGAAGGATATTTCTAGGGTCGCTCGCACCCGCGCTGCCAGATTACAAGACAAGCTCGTTACGTTTAGGCTATGGGCCGGCTTGAGGGTTAGAGTGAGGATGGATCTTTATTCCTTATAGCGGACTCCTTGTAGCCCATTGGCAAATCCGCTGCCTTGTGGTCAGGTTTTTGAACCAAAGGTTTGGTTGAGAACCCTAATCGTTCTCCTGTCTAGGCCTGGGCAACGTGACATTATCCTGCCCACGCAATACTATGAACTTTTCCTTAAACAATTTCTTACTGCTCTGGCCTTCGCAGAGATACTAAACTGCGCCCTATCTATATTCCCTCTCTATTCCTGGAATACCCTCAGCGACATAGGACTGTGTGGCCTGTTAAGGGGTTGTTTATGACATGAATCTAGAGGGTATTGGAATATGAATATATCTGGCAGCGCTCCAGTAGCACCGTAAACTCCTTTAATTCAGCTGGGGATTATGGAAGTAGAACTGGCGAGGGGCATCAGCAAACCCATGTTTTCCTTTTTCTACCATGCCCTTTGCTGCAGCTAAGGGGACGCTCTGAAGTTACGCGACGCCTTATGTAGAATATTGCTTGTACTACACGACAACTTCATTTTTGCGTCATAGTATCTTGGGCTGGGATATTGCCCACGTGTCCCAAACTAAACCCTTTGGCTTGAAGCTTGACCGCATGGTAGCAGAGAGATAGCAACAATCCGGTTTTACAGAGGTGGATAGGGTCTCCTTTCCAACCTGAAGAACCAGAAGACTGGGTTCGTCTGACCTCTTTCTACTGACTAGTCTAACATGAGTAACGGTCACTGGGCCCGGGGACCCATACACTGTGGTGTAGGTACGTAAACCATCGTACCAGTCCACTCTTGTTGAGGCGGATATGCTACGTATCCACAAGACTTTGAAATAGGTGCACCTGGTTCTTACTACGTACAGTTGTCGTACCAGTGCCTGTTAGTTTGCGCAGCTGGACCCACCCGTTTTGTCTCTATTTTCCAAGAAATCTTTCAGTTTGGCCATCACGTGTTTCATATTGCTGGCGTTCATTTCTCATTTATATATTCGTTCAGATCAATGTTCACGCGATTTGCTTTCTACGCTATGCTTTTTAACAAGTTGCTCAGCGTGGGGCCACGAATACATTCTAACTGGAGTTGTCAACATACCTCGTCACGATTGCAAGCCAACGTGGTTTAGTGTCACTTTTCTTGTCCCTTTAACTGGAAGATACCGACTTCCGCCTACTGTCCGATCACCGAGACTACCCACAGAAGACCGTGGTGATCCAACACATCTTTACCAGGCTTATCCTCATTTCATCGGATTTGTCTCAAGAAGACTGGTTCGAGAGCCTAATACTTCACACCTTGTGTCGTCGACTGCGTGTCGATTTTATCATGATCTTTGTTTTACTGCGTAATTCCAACTGATGCGGCTAAGACTTCATTTGAAACACTATGCAGCACAGGCGGACAGCGGTACAAGCTTGTGTTGTTGAATCCGCAAATTCGCCCACCTCTCTTACTTCGACCGTAGCGTAGTCAATCTTTGGGACAGTCTTGTAAAATACGTACCGGATGAATATAGATGTAGATACGGTTGATTTTTCGACAACTGCAGGGTTGCTCGCGATATCCTAGATTTTGCTGTTATTAATGATGGGTTAAAAATCAAATAAAAAGCATTTACAACGTTTTATGAGGTAGAGCTGCAATTGGTACGTTACGCAGTGTACAAATCGTACAAGGAATAGACGGACATGACCAGTACGCCGACGTTTCGCTGTCAAGCGACCACCACCAATTGCGAAAAAACCGAGTTACACGCGAGGTCGTATGCACCTACACCGGATTACAAGGCAAGCCTGTAATTCTTTCAGCCATTGTTCGACAATGAATAGCTAAGAAAATCAGGTGGGTACATGATGAAAGGTTGAAGTTGTTTGGGATCAACGAAACGTTTCTTCTTCGGTCGATCTGACTCCGCCCCAGCAATTGTTCCAGGAAATCAAGTCTTTTTAAAACGAACATTTCTTTTCGATAATTCATCAACTGGCTTATACAATTACATGAAAATCGAAATTTGTATGCAGACCCAGCGGGTCGTCAATCAGTCAATAGATTCTAGCATGCGATGACAAACATCATCGGTCAGGTGCCCGCTGTAGTCTCCACACACTCACATAGGCCGACGCCGATACGTCCAGGCCAGTGTAGACTCAACGCCTGAGTAGCCGTTTCTTGCGTGCATAGCCCTGGTTCGTACAGTCGAATTACGATGGCTTCTGTCTGGACGGATCTGCGTTAACCCTTGCGAGTATGTGGAGACAACAGCGGGGATCTGACCGACTTGCTAGAATCAAGTGGCTGATTGACCACCCGTTAGGTCCGCCTACAAATTTTGTTTAGTGTTCCAGCAAATGAGTGGCATCATATTCGTTGGCATTTCTTTTGCGCCCATAAAACCCTCGTAGTGTTGTGAAAAAAACCAGGTGGAATTAGGGCATAGAATACACGAATAACGTTTTTTTATTTACACATCACTAAAACATCAAGGAGTGTCTAGCAGTAAATTTGCTCCAAAAGGTGTGTAGGTTGTTTTGGACACACTGTCCGGTTGTGTTTGCAAAATTGTATCAATTGCACATGAATGAGTGTGATGTCTACGATTATATGAGATATATGTGGCAGAATGTATTGGAACTTGTTTCTTTACGACAGATGTGTAGCATTCGAAGACCCTTCGAAATCCACAAGTAAGCAGGGGCAAGTGAAATACTTTGAATTTGTAATCGCAGATATGCATTTCAGGAATTGCTGAGGCGTTTGGGGTATTAATGTGTAGTAGCGACAGGTCGCTTTGAAGGGTTTGGAGCTAAAAACGTATCCAGCCGGTCAGATGAACAAGAACACTGCACCAGACTGACGGTACTATATACTAATAATTAGGAAGCAGTAACAACATCAACCTCAATAATAGCGCTTCCACTCAACGCAGCTTCAATGAAGTGTAATTCGGATAGGTTTCAGAGCATCAGTGGAATACAGAGTACAGGACACTGGATATTATAGGACAAGTGAAGTCGATGCGATTGGTTAATCACAAACCGAATGAAGACCGGATGAGTGCGAAGGAGAATGTTCACAGTGATCGTAATCAGTGCGGGGGAAGCATGTAAACATCCGTGGCTGGGCCACATATTGGGTTAAAGGATAATGGTATGCTTAGAGAGAGAGTATGAATAAGTTACCACAATGCGGGACGGACTCACATGGGATTACACGTGCGTGGGGGGCCATGAAATTTGCAGGATGTGCTCTTTGTTTACACGGTTCATGTGCAAAGGTTTATCTGGACTGGAAATCACAGCAGTTCCGAATCACAGTGGTGGGCCGGTGGTAAGATCGTCAGGAGTAGTCCACGCTCGATGATTGGTGAATAGATGAATAGAACACAGGCATCCTGGGTCTTTCTACAATGTGTCTTTATAAAAATCTACTTCGTGTGTTACGGCCTCCCACTATAGGCATGTTTACTGGATTCTTGGTAAATGAATTTATTGCCATATATCAAAGGGGATCGGGGACTCAGAACTATTAAGAAAGATAGTGGGGATATCTGTAATTATTTCGACAATTTAAAAATAGTTTTAGAAACTGACGATGCAGTAATGCTGGTACAAGTGATCGGAGAGTTCTCTTCAATTAGAAGAAGTAAAAAGATGATTGATAGATGAGAAGAAGTGTGGGACAAGCGGAATCAATGTTCGAATGCAAGGTAGAATGGATCATAAAGTACGCTATTCGCTACAATTTTTCCCCGTACCAGTGTTCTGCATGAGTGATCGATGAGTTTTTCTACACAAGTACATAGGAAGATGGGTACTAGATCTGACGGGAGGGCAAGCTATGTCGTCGAAATATTTTAACTACGTTCAGCAGAAGTAGGGTTTGATCTAGTTTATTTTGAGTTCACCAGTGCGTTGGCTTGCTCTCATTGTATGGATATTGATTCTATGTAATTGGTTAACATATCATGGAGAAGTTCGTACGTATTTGCAATATATTCTTGCTGTGGAAGGCTTTTCTGTTCCTCAAGGTCTAGTCACCATCCTTCCTGAAATTTACAACGCTGTGAATAAGTCCTGGATCGCTTTGAAAAATACTCGTTTTTGTGTGATTTGCCACTTGCACCTTATAGATTTGCGAGATAACATCAAGTTTCTTTCCCAGTTTTTTCATTCTTTCTGAACTTAAATCTTGGCATCCCAGTCGTCATTTTATATTTGTTAATGATTAAACCCCTACTGGATAATACCACCCGAAAACTACATTCCATCTGTGATGTCGCTTAACACGACATAGTGCTGCTATAATTTTAGTACATATATTTTTATTTGCTGCCCGGAAAAGTACAGTGTACGGAATCTCAATTTAGCTTTTGTTTGTCGTAGCTGCTTTGTATCTCATATGTATTGAGATGTTCGCGGTGG